CACCGGAAGTGGGCGTCGCCCGGTACTGTCGGGACCACATATTATATTAATCTGGGCTTTGATAATATGTATATGGTGGCAGATATCCTAATTGAGCCATGACAATGGCACAGGGTTGACCGGTTGGTCAAACGGGGTCAAATTATCAATATCGGCAATTTGTCAGATAACAGCCCGAAAAGGAATTTTGGAGACTTCTAAATTAAAGTTGAGGAATGTATATTCATCATAAAGTCCAAAAAGGATTCAGAACATGCGTTATATTTTATTTGACCCGATAAAATAAAATATAATTAAAACAGTCCGAAAAATACAACTTCCGGGACCGATCATACACTCCGGGACACAAACGGTTGACCTCCCACATAAGTGGGGCCAACCCACGTTTTTTATCTCTGCAAGGATGGCAAGGGATCCGCACAACCTTATGGGAATTGAGCAAGAAAATGACTGAAGGCCAGACCAATAAATGGAATGGACCCTCCCCCATGTTATCTTTGTGAGAAATGCCAAAAAGGCATTCTCAATAAACCATACACCCCCAGCTCGGCCCATCCCTCGAGTAAGGTGAGAGAATCTCTGTAATACTCCATCTTTGCCATCCATATCCGCACAAAGCAAGGAGAGGAAGAAGGAAGGGAAGAAAGAAGAGAAAGGAGGAGGTTAGGGAGGAAAACTTGAGATTTACAAGGTAATGACCCCGTTAATCCTATTTTGTTTTCTTTGATCTTTTAATATGATTATACAATCATATTTCACACCCTAGGATTGTTCTACACGTTTAGAAGTGTAGAATGAGGGGTCAGAGGGTGGTTCTAGGTCCAAGAACGGACTTAGAAGCCAAAGTGACCGGTTCGCAGGAAAATGACCTTTTGGAGGTTATTTGTATTACTATGGGTTTTATGATAATAAAACATTGTTAGTAACTTGTCTAAGGTATTCAAGGAACTTTCACGGAATTGAAAGGGGCGCCGGAGTTGTCACTGGAGTTCGTTGAAGTTCGCCGGAGTTTCACCGGAGCTAAATCGGGAAGGCTAGAACTTCATAAGCTTCATTAAGGTGAGAAGACGGCTTTATGCTTTATAACTTTTGCGTGAGGCATGAGATTACCTAAAGTAATCAAAAATATGTTTTATGGAATGATTAAGGATAATCAAGTATTTGCTTATGCCATGATTATATATTAAACATAGTTGAAAGGCATGTTATGTACGTTTGATGATTAAAAATGTGATAATCATTATGTGCGATGTTCCAGGGATCCAAAATGGTATTTTTGGATTGAGGACGTCAAGAAGTACATGTGTGTAAAATTTCATGTTATTTGGACTCCAACGGGCGTTGACCGCCAAGTCAACTGCCATACCCGATCGGGTATTGATAAGTACCCGACCGGGTATTTGCTGAAAATTGGCCCCAGGGGGCTACTGCCTCTTATACCCGATCGGGTATGGGTAGATACTCGATCGAGTATACATTGAAAATTAGCCTTGTGGGCTACTGTCTCCTGTACTCGACCGAGTATAGGTGAGTACTCGATCGAGTATTGGTTTATGCTCAAAACGGATTGTTTTGAGTAGGTTAACGTGGGTCGTTCAGGTGGGACCCACCCACGTTGGTTCCTAAGGATTGTTATATGACTACAGGGCTAGGCATTGTCCATAGTTAAGGGAACGAAAGGTTAGCCATATCCAGGTTAGGATTTGGTAGAGGATAGACTGGGGATCGAGTACCCTTGGACGGTAAATGATCCAGAATACTCCAGGTGGGGTCGAGTACCCTTGGACGGTAAATGATCCAGAATACTCCAGGTGGGGTTGAGTACCAGGGTTTTTGGTACATCCTTCACAGGAGCATAAGGATTCACACACTCATTAAAAGAAAATTTTTGCCCTACGCTTGTAAGGCTTTTTTCATTTAAAACAGTATAATTGAAAGAAGTTTCTGTTTTTGGGTTCTTTCTCTTTTCTTCTTCTTCTTCAGCATTTTCTTTTTCACCGGTATAATACATTTTCTGACCATATTTTAGTCTCATGTGGTCTAAGTCATAAAGTTGAATGCAATCAACTTTCTTTAGATAGCCTGGATTAGATATGCCAAGCTCGGATCTGGGATTATAATACCGGGCATCACTAATTTGATTAAAGAAGATAGTTTGTTCTGATTGACCTCTTGTAGCAATCAAATCCTCAAGTTCTTTGATTTTGCTGAAAAGAGTATTTCTTTGATTGTCAAGAACGTTTTTGTCAGCTTTTTCTGAACTTAGCTCTATCTCAGTTTGAAACACTTTATCAGTAAGATCAGCAACCTTGAGTGTTAGCTCATCAATTTCAAGTGTCATCTTTTTGGCAACTTGTTTTTCATTTTCAAGTTGTATGTTTAAGGAGGCTTTCTGGTCTAGACAACTAACAAATTCTTGGTAGTTATTGTCTAACTTCTCCCTTAGATCATTAATTAGGTCATCCTTATCTTGTAAGGATTGACCTTGATTAGAACAAGAGCATTGATAATCGGAAGTACTTACCATGCTATTCGAGCTCTCACTTTCGGGGATCGCAACATCACCCTTTTCTTCTTCTTCATCCTCCAACAATGCCATCAGCGCATAGTTCTCCTCTTCCTCTTCATCAGATGAGTCCTCAGCCCAATGATCTTTCTCAGCAAGCAGTGCTGCATTCTCCTCTTCTTTTTGAGCTAGCTACATCTTTTGCTTGTTCCCGATCATCTTCTGTTTATAGAAGTTGACGTCCCTTTTCTTGGGTAGGCGACGGTCCTTCTAAAGATGTCCAGACTTTCCACAATTATAGCATTTGGGAGATTCATCAGCTGCAGTTGCTTTTCCAGAGCTTCCTAGATCATGGGTTTTCTTTTTTTTAGTTAGAAGATGAGGTTCTCAGCTTATTTGAGGAGCTGTTCTTCTTCCCCCACTTCTTGGTCAAGAGTGCCATTTTCTTCTGCAACTCTGCCATTTCCTGCTCGAAATTAATTTCTTCATCACTATCTTCTTCTTCTGACTCAGAAATAACCTTCTTTTTCTTTTCCAGGGCGTTCGTGGATCTTTTTGTTGTGTCTCCATTACAAGAGCCAACGGATCAGTTGAATAACGTCCTTCAAGTTCTGCAGCATCACTTTCAAATGACCTCAGATAGTCTCTTAAGGTACAGAGCTCCACTTCATCTAAGTCCAAGCCGGTTCTCGCATCTTTCACAGTATTTCTCCACTCAAGATTTAGACTAGACCTAAATCTAATATTCATTTCCATATTGGATTTGAATATTTTGATCTTTCTGAGTTCATTGATTAGTGTCATGAATCTCTTGTGGGTTGAAATGAGTGATTCACCAGGTAAGGCTTTAAATGAGTCATAGGCCGTCAGAGTACTGGCCTTTTTAGTCTTAAGTCCAATAGAAGTTCCCTGCAGTAGCTTTGCAACTTCATCCCACATTTCCTTCGCGGTCCGCAACTGTCAATCATGATGTAGATATCATTGGGAATGACCTGCAGCAAATATGTTTTGACGGTGAGATCAGCCTTCAATCTCTCTCTGTCCTCTGCTGTGTATTCAGTGGGAGTATTGATCCGTCTGAATTGTTCGATTGGCGGATTATTGTTCTCATTTCCTGGAATAGTTATCCACAGTTCTGCAGGACCTTAAGTGAGGGATTCCAGCAGTGCAAAAGAGTTATCTCGGTTTTCAAGAAAGTTGATCCATCTGACTTGTTCGATTGGCGGATTATTGTTCTCATTTCCTGGAATAGTTATCCACAGTTCTGCAGGACCTTAAGTGTGGTATTCCCTATTTCTCAGTACCCGGGGATTGCTATTGTTTCCGAGTGCTGATGAGTCGGTTGCCATTGCTGTTATTGACTGACCATTCGAGATTTGATGGGGAAAAAATTTCAAAGGAAGAACCTCGAGATCCTACAAATCGAAGATCTAATCTCGAGATTTAACATTTCGATATAGGGATTTCGAGATTAAGATTTCGAGATTTGTCTTTCGAAATTTCAAATGTCGAGTTTTGATCTCGAGATTTCAAATGTCGAGATTTGAAATATCGAGATTTATACTTCGAGATTTTAGATTTCGAGATATCAAAAGTCGAAATCTAGATGTCGAGATATAAATATCGAGACCCTAATGTCGAGTTCTCAAAGTCGAGATCCTGCAAGTTGAAAATTTTGAGTTTTCAAAATCTGAAAGCTGTATTCTGTAGACCTGAGTGTCGAGATCCTTTTGTGAAAAATTCAGATCGAAAGGCTAAACAGAACCTGTAGAAAAATATAATCTCGAGATCACCGTGTCGAAATCTTCAAGAGTAAAAACTTGCGAAAAACAAAATATAAGGTATACTGCTTGATCGTCTAAACAACGCGATCCTAACGGTATAACTTTTACAGCTTTTTGATCAACAACAAGATTACAGATGAATGAACTCGAAAAACAACAGATGAACGAAAAAGACAGAGTCTTTCGTCATCTTTGCCTGATCTGTTCTCAATTGGCTCTGATACCAATTATTTGTCCCTGTTTATAGATTACAGCAATATATCGATACACAAAGATGAGAATAACAGAAAGATAAATTCTCTGGAGATCTTTAAACTCGTCTTTGATATACCGTGAACTTCTACAGTAAGAATGATAAGCTCTGAGGCTGTTAAGATCGGATGCAAAAGTTAACGCAAACCTAAGCCGTATGCGCCTTTTTATATGCGCAGGTCAGGTTTGCGTAAAGGCTTTACGCCTGATATGGGTCTGACAACTTAGGCCCCATTACCTTTACTACTCTAATAAATACACACAATGAATACATTAAGGAGTAATAAAGGTTATACTAATACAAGACTCTTGACAAACTTGATTCACAGTAAATATTCTTCAACAATCTTCATTACAATGATTAGGTCCACTAGAGGCACAAAAGCATATATTCACTATATTAATGGTGGATTTCACAAGTACCTGATCTAGAGCAGGTGAAAAACAAGTGCTTCCAGTGGCTACAAAATTTATGTTTATCCATTGGGCTGCATTTTCAATTGTTTGCTTTGTTGCTAGCTCCATCTTTGATGAGAACGATAAGCTCATATCATTGAAAGCAATAATGTTAAAGGTATCTTCTGGACCAAGCTTACATAAAGCAGACAACAATGAAGTTTTCACGTTCTCTATTGGCCCTCCGTGCATGCTTCTGCTTGTATCAACAACATATACAATTTCATTCTTGAAAAGCTACAATGAAAAGATGAGATCAACTGGCATTTGATTCCTAGATATCTTTATTGATAAAATCTAGTGAACGATACAACATAAACATTCAAGACAAACCTTTTTTGGGATATCATGAGGAGGGTGAAGATATAAGCAAAACATATTCCTCTGATCAGAATCAAGCCGAGAAGGAGACCTCACGAGCAGACCACCAGAACCATCTACCTGATGTAAAGCAATACCAAAAAAACTAGTACCAATATAGGATACTCTAGTGGTATATTAAGACTATACTTGTATAATAAGGATATTAAGACTTGAAGTCACATCCCAAAAGTAAACTTGATGAGAGGAATAGAGAATTGAGAAGTGATACTATATATGAAAACTGAAGTCATTTCTGGACCACATAGCCACATCACTCTGATACATGAGATTGATATTCCCAGTAAGTCAGTAACACTCTTCTTTTCCTATGGTGAAAAAGAAATAAATTAGTGTGATAAACAGTGGCAATAAACTACTCTCATACATCCAGTAGTTTTTCCATACCATGGGACAGTCCGTTGGCATTATTTATCCAAGACTTATCCATTTGAATACTAATACCTAGTTTGTAGTACAAACAAAAACTCAAAATAGTATACATAAACGACAAAACATGAAAATTAGCTCATAAATATTTTAATTTGGAGTTCTACGTTTCAGTTTAATGATATAGGAAATAAATATATATAAATCCTAAAAAACTGAAGCACACATTTGAATAAATAAAGCAAATCAGTTTTTCCCTCTCCCAAGTCATACGAATATCTATAAATAAACAAAGCAAATCAGTTTGGGATATGTAAAACAATTATACATTAATCACATTTCCTTATTGAATTAGAGTTGCAATTTGATATAAATGAACTCAAAAATATATTCTAATAGACAGTGGCGTATCCAAGATGGGGGCAGGGGGCAGCTGCCCCCACTCAACCCCACCCAACCCCTATACATATTTATTTAAAAATTCAATTATACATATTTTTGTGTGATGAATATATATAACATATACGTAATTACGCAAATTATGGTGCAGTGGAGAGGGACATACCTGTGTTTATTTTTCTTCCGTTAGGTTGGGGGGTTCGATACCTCCCATCATTTTTTTACTTACAAACTTTAATTTTCCTTGTTTTCTTCCTGTTTTTTTTTTTACATTTGGATGAAATTTAAACTATACTTCCAAACATTTTTAGAGTTAAACTATACTTCATTACATTTTACACTTCATATGAACTAATTTTTAGAAATAATTTTGCATTCACAATTTACATTATTTCTAAATACATACATCCCTCATTCAAATTATTCATTTATTAACATAACATCAAAAAATTAAAAAAAAATGTGTTAAATTTATTTCTCACATAGTAAAATTTGTTAAGTATGATTTCATGTTTTTCTGCTGATTGATTAGTTTTTATTTATAATGAATTTTGTACTATTTTTCTAAAGTGTTCAGATACTTGTGACATGCGTGAAATAATACATACTCCCTCCTCCGTCTCAGAAAATTCTTCCGATTGGATTTGGATCGGAGTTTAAGAAAGTGGGAATAAAGTGAATTATATGATTGTGGTCGAGTAAGAAAAATGTAAACGAATGCTAGCCACAAAACACTTTTCAAAAAGGAAAATGAGATGAATTTTTTCTGGACATTTCAAAAAGATAAGTGAGAAGAATTTTATGGGACAGAGAGAGTGGTATAACTCGCCCCCACTCACATTAATTCCCAGATACGCCACTGCTAATAGAGTAATAGTGTAATGTTGAAACAACTAGAAACTAAAAACTAAAATATTCTGATGACATTTCGTCCATACAACTCATTGATGTTAGTTAGGCTTCTCAATTCTTTGAGGAGTTTTGTCCAACACATTGTATGCAAACAAGAATATTGAGTTACTTCATATTTTTTTCACAAACTACTTAATATATATCGATCATGAGTTTCATCACACACATTCATATGTAGAAATACAATCAGATGTTTACTAACTAACCAAAATAAGTTTCTATGATCATACTTTGGGATGTAAAAACAAATCAAATCTAAATATTATTGAAAATAAGAGATAATATTGATGAAAACTGAAAAAACAATGAAGTGGTGGACTACGTACTTACTGGAGTTGTGGGCGACTGGAGAAGAGAACGAAAGAAGCGACAGAGTACGGTGACGAAGTGTTAAAACGAACTCAATCGATCGAATTGTTGAAGGGTGTCATGGACTAAATCGATCGAACTCGGGCGACAGAGTATGTGCTCTAGCTCTGGACGAAGAATCGGCCGGTTGAGAAGGATATTAGCGAGAGTACGGCAGCGATCGGAAGAAATTAGCGATGGAAATCAATCGCAAGCTAGGGTTAGTTTGTGCGGCTCTAGCTCTGGAAGAACGAATACATAGATCGATGGATTTTTCTTTTTGTGGGATATGATAGGTTAGCCAAGTGTAATGAAAAAAACAAGTAATAAATTAGCTAAGTTAAATTTTTTTTAAAGCACACACCTACACAGCCCATTAAGTGTCACTATCAGGTAGTGATGTTTTTTTGTTAGAAATTAGTGACACTTTTATGTCATTGGTAGTATTCTATAGAAAAGTGTCACTACGAAAGTATCAATGTAAACCCTTTTTCTACTAGTGATGTTTTCCTTCGCAAATATGACTTTTTCTTGTAGTGAAGCCTTTTGATATCTAAGGTATTTTATTGAAATCGATCGAGATCAAGGGTGTTGGGCATGCACGCTAGCCCTACCGTATGTAGACTCCGCTTTCAACACTTGTTGACATACAACTCCTTTGAACTTAGGGTCTGAGGGATGATATATCATCAGGAATAACATGCACAAAAATAAGTTACAAGACAAAAAGTACAAATTATATTCTCAAAACTAGAATATATTAAAATTTCAATGAAGTTTTTAGTTCGATTTAATTCTATTCTATTCCGATTCGACTCGGTTTAATATGATTTAGAAGAAGTACTAAAAAATCAAGCTGAATCAAATATGATTGGGATTTCAGCTTGATTAGTTCGATTTGGTCAAACCAAAGCGCTATACTCACCCTTAGTTATGAATATAACCCATAGGTTTGATAGCATGTATGGTCTACTTGTTGTGCTTCTTGTGCCTATATTATGCACGAGTAGTCCCCTATCATTGGTCCAAGGTTGAATTAATGCCTCGTTAATTTCACAAGTTTTTAGGTGAGATAATTTTATGTATTTAAATTCCAAATTCTATTTTGTCTATACATTATGCCTGAATATTATAATAAAAAAATTATATAGGTTAAAAACTCTAAATTATAAACATTACCAACATATGTGGAGTATTATTAATACATTAAATTTCACTAATTAAAGTTCAATGCAATTAATTCACTAGATGAACTAATATGTTCATATAATATCATTAATCATTTCAATTATCAACTAATAACCAATATTATGATTTCAACACTAAACACACTAAATTATTACGTTAATGGCATTAATTAATTCATAAACATTAACAATAATTTTTTATGTGTACGAACATTTATATATTAAATTTCACTAAAATTCCCTTAAAATTAACTAACGTCCAATTAATATTATTAAACTATAAACATGCACAATACGTTAATGGCATTTAATCCACAATACTAAAATTATCAACATCTTAATCTTATTAATAATGCACATTTAATAATTCACTAAATTAAATAATATGAGCAAATCCAATAATTTGAGCATATACATAAACTCATTTAAATTAAATAATACTTAAATTCAACTAATATTATAATTTTTTTAACTAATTTACGTTATTCACAATCATAAATCATCATATATACTTAAGCAATGTTTCAATTAACTAACCCTAATTTAAATCATTATAAATCCTAAATTAGGCATTAACAATAATTGCTAATAAAGAAATCCTATAATTATATTTAACCATATATAAACTCATTTGAATTAAATAATACTTACATTTAACTAATATCATCTATAATTTAACTAATTTATGTAATTTTAATTAAATACAACTTAATTAACCCTATGTTTAAATTACACCTACGTTTAACTAATTTTAAGGAATTTATTTCGCTAATTAATAATTAACAACCTTTTTTAAATGCATTTAATTTAAATTTAACTAATATTAACAAAAGTTTAACTAATTTAGCTAATTAATTAATTTAACTTAATGTGCCACTACGATTAAATCTACGTTTAAGTAACTAATTTTTCACTAAATTAAATGAAATTGACATATATATAATTCGTTACTTAATTAATAATCTCTCAAATTTAACAGTTTATTACACTTAAAATGAACCAACTAATTCATACAAAAAAATATGTAATTCAAATTACATACGTTATCTGCATAAACAGGGAAAATGATATAAGATGACTAGATTGCATCCTTCAATTCTATCTGGATTTTATCTGGATTCTATCTGGAATACCAGCGGTGGTTTTGTTGAATGAAGCTGAGGCTGCATATATAAAACATTTAGTCACGGACGTAGTCACGGATGTGTCCGTGACTAACTAATTTCGTACGATTTATCGGCACACTTTAACTTTTGAGCGTTGAAAAAATTAATTTTGGATCTTGTCACGAAATTAGTCTCGGAATTATCCGTGACTAAGTTTAGTCACGGATTTAGTCACGCATTCGTCCGTGACTAATTTCAAATTCAAAAAAAAACCGCCGGAGGCAAAATCGGGTTGGCCGGAATAGGTTAGTCACGGACGGACGTAGTCACGGCCATATCCGTGACTATTTTTTTTTTTAACAATCCGTGACTAGCCCGTGACTAGAACCGTGACTAACTAATCAGGGACCAAATCCGTGACTAGCGTCCGTGACTGCAGACGAATTTTTTTGTAGTGATAACACACTTAGTTTTTATCGTGCTCTATTTTCTTAATTGGTTACCACATTCCTCCAACATTTGGGTGGGTCAGTAATGTCCTCCATGAAAAGAGTTGAAGAGGAAGGGTGTGCATCTCTAAGAAAGAGTGCGGAGCCACCACTTTTCTCCACCTTTTGTTGTCCTCATTGTCCGAGAACTTCTTCCATTTTTTGGCAATAGAATTCGTCTTCAGGATTAGAGCCGTAAACGAATCGAGCTTTTATCGAACTATTCGAGTTCGAGCTCGGTTTCGAACCTA